AAAAAAAAACTCTTCTTTTAATTTGTACTTTTTTTCTCATTTGCTTGTGTTTATTATAATTTGAATAATCTTTGTTTTGATTGATTGATTGATAATTGTATAACAGATCCGAAACTTGTATGGGGAATACCTGGAAAGGGCCCAAGAATGAATATATTACCCATACATGTTGCTCTTCTGGTCACCACCGCTCCTCAATTGGATAATATTAATAATCCCAATTTTCTTATTAATCAGGTCAATTCTCAAATCCCGTAATTAATTTGAAACATGAGGTTTAGTTTTTTTTTTTTTCTTTTTTTTTAAAGTTAAATTTAGTTTTTTATTTTTCTGTATTGTTATTATATCCCGTGCTATTGTAAATTAAATTCATAAAAGTGACTCAAACATCTCTAAATATTTTTGAACAAATCTTTTGTATACAACAATAAGAAGGAAAAGAAAAGCAGAACACCAACAAACAATCTGAATAGATGTACTACTGGCACGCTCTCTGCGTTATGCGCTTGCTTTTCTGATATATGCATATCTTTGATCAGGAAAGCAGTAGAAGTAAAAGGGTGAGGACAAGCATTGAGGTCTCTCTTGACAATGGACTCCTCGGTAATCATCGACATTATTGTTAGCTATAATAACATAAACAAAACTACATGATTAGATATATTGCTGTCTAAATACTCATTTATTCATTTTTTGAGCATTAGAAGTTTTGCTGTCTAATGTCGGTGAAGACCTATTGTCGGAGATCCTTGCTAGACTCCCGAATTGTCGATGCGTTATCCAGTTGAGCTCTGTTTGTCGGCGTTGGCATGCGTTGATCTCTCAACCGCAATTCATCCCTAGCTTCATCCGCCTCCATCGAGATCGAGATCAATCCTACACCATTCTTTTCCACATGAATTATACTAGTAATATTTATGAGACCCCAGAGTACTTTCAATTGGTTTGCACTCTTTTCTCGGAGGAATCTTTGCTTATCCACGGCGGAAAGCATGCATTATCATCGTCTAACTATCTCGACTTCATGCCTTCACTCATGGTCGTAAGAGCATCGTGCAATGACTTGTTGCTCGTGTCCCCGGATAAGCGTTTTTTTGATGGCCGTTTTCGCCACCACCATCAGAGGTACTACATTTGTAACCCGGTGACTAAAAAGTGGTTTCTCGTTCCTAAAGAAACCCCTATTGGAACAAGGGCAGGATTTGCATTAATATGCAATAAGAATTCTTACAAGGTGGTACTTCTCGATGTGTTTTCTCTGGCTGACAAAGAAGCAACAGTCATTGTCGATATATATAAACAACCATTGTGGGTGTTTTGCTCCGAGTCGGGGAAATGGACCAGATCTTTCTTCTTGCTTCCTGCTCGCCCGACAAGGGACTATCTCTTTGTCACCAATGTCGTTTCGTGCAATGGGATTCTGTATTGGATGGACGGTTCAGTTAACTTAGACCGCATTGTTTCTTTAGATTTGGCCAATAATCGGTGTGTCGTGATCTACTTCCCGGACATTGTGCGTGAAAACACCACCATTGGCAATCCCGACTCGAGGGTCTACATTTGTGCCGTGAGGGATGAGTTGAGGTTGTTGCACTTTTTGCGAATAGGGCCGGACACAAAATGCTTCGTCGTGAGGGTTTGGGAATTGGACCGTTGGGACGGCCCGTGGTCTTTGGTTGGGGAGAGGGAGTTGATGTTTTCGGATGCCGTCAGTGCTGATGGTGGCCGGGATACTGTGGTGGCAGCCGTTTTTCATCCGAAAGATTGTGATTCGGTTTTCGTCATATGTGGAAAGAGTGTTTACGAGTGTGGGGTTTCGAAGGACACGTGTCGCAAGCTCGGTGAGCTTGGGGAATTCATAGGCCACGAGGGTCTCGCGTCCTATGTTCTCATGCATCCAGCTTGGCCCACGCCAATTCCATTTGGGGTTTAGTTGGGAGCTTGTGTTTGATTTCGTTTTCATTTATTTTCCTTTATCTTTGCTTATACTTTGTTTAATGTTTCAATCATATTTGGATGAACAAACATATATTATGAAAGTTGGATTTTAAGATTGCGTGGTTATTTATTATGATTATCAAATGATATATGCTTTTGTTATTTTTAAAGTTTACTCTCATGTTCGAACCAGAATCACCCAACTTTATAGGCGGTTTCTCTGGGGCTCGCGGACGCAACAAGGAGGGACGTCAAGGGGCTATTCTTTCTTAAGACCACGCGGCACTATGGTGCCGTGGACCAGAGCGTATAGAGGAGAGGAACGGATTAGTCACTCGACCAAAGGGCGAAGCTGCTCGACCATCGGGAGAGGGACGCGTAGAAATTCTATGTCGTCTCCGTTTTCATACAGCCCTCGTTCCGGGCTCTTATAAAGTATATAGTTGCCCTCTCCTCTCTTCTTCTCTTCATGTATGTGGGCTGCCTGCCCCATCCGAATAGACGAACAGGAACAAGCTGAAGGGAAAATGTTGCAATCGTTTATTTATTTATTTAGGCAAACGACCTGTTAACCCATTTTTTTTTTTTTTTTTATCTCCCTAAAAAATTCACCGTCACTCCCAAATACAATTTTATGATTATTGAATGGTGATAAATAATTCCATCAAACAACATTATATAGTTTGAAAATAGTTTAGAAAATTATTTTTTTATATAGAAATATTTAAACTTTGTTTATCCGTCTGGAGTTTCAGTATATATATAAACACTAGTACAACGCTCGTGTATTACATGGGTGTTTGCTAAAATTTTCCTTAAAATTTAAAATTATTAATGAGAATAAGTAGTTGAAAATTTAAATATTTTTTTATAAATATATATATATATATATTATATTTTAGTATGACACTTGTTACTTGTGACTTATATGTGTTATATATATTTTATAATATATAACTACGTTAAACATGAATATATTAATTGAGAAATAATTTTTTTAATTAATTTCAATAAATATTTTTTTACTATTGTAAAAATATATATTAATGTATTTATTTTATATATAATTATGGATGTCAAATCGAAGCTCGTTAAAAGATGATTAATTTGATATATAATGTAAAATAGATAAGAAATATAAAAGTTATCAACTTTTAAAATACATTTATAATTCAATAGTTATAAATAGGAAATAATATTCAAAATCCAATTAATAAATCTAAAATGATATAAATAAATCAACATATTTATGATAATCCGAACCTAATTAGTTTTGGATTGAAATAAATTAAAATCTATCCAAGCTAAATAACAAAGCATTAAATTTTAACATGCAGGATTCCTAAGCATGCGAGTCTGCCACTTAGACTCAGCACATTCGGAAATTATATATAGAGAGGATTCTATTTACCCTACATCATAATATTATAATTTATAAAAGATTCGCCCAAGATTGTCTATTGAAATAATAAAATGTATTATATTATATATAACTAGTACAGTCCCGTGCGATGCACGGGCTTTATTATTTCTGTCTTTTTAAAAGACAATTTTGTTTTTAAATTAAAATTATATATTAAAAGAACGATCATGGCATCAGTTAATTGCATGCTTGAATTAATTATTTTTATATATCTAGTAATTTTGCAATTAATGTTATACATGTCGTAATTTTGCAATAAAAAATGATACATGTTGTACATGGTGTAATTTTTTTTATTGCAAACGGCCCACAAGTAGAGAACATAAATACAATTCAGTTAAAAAAAAGATCGAATGGTTGACAATAATCAACCAAAATGTACGTGTGAGATCGACCCTATAATAGCATTTGGTCGGCATTAGGTTTAGGCTTGCCTTTTGCGTCGCTTCACTCTTTCCTCTCCTCATGTTTCATCTTCGAAATTTTCGATTCTTGTTGAATTTAAGACATGAAATTCGATTTTTTTACTTAATTATGCTTTCTAGCTTAAGTATCATTTCTGATTTTGAATTAGCAAACTGAAATATTTTTGTAATTAATTAATATATTTATAATTTTTATTTAGTATTATGTATTCCTACTTTTTTACGAATTATAATTATTTTGATTTCATATGTTTGTACGATTTTGTTTAGATCATTTTCAATTTTCAACAAAATGCGAAGTTTCGTCTGCGGTCTTCACTTTTTAGACAGAAAATGATTTTTTTTTTTAAAAAAAAATCTCATTTTAACTCGACTTTGATACCCGGATTGATTTTTTTGTGCTCGATCTGGAATTTTGATAACGAAAAGTAGATTTTTGTTGGTTGAACTGAAACAGAGAAAACAATGGGAAAGTAGAACTGATAATTTTTCAGTTCATATTTGTATAGTATTGAATAAGAGAGTAACCGAAAAATAAAAGAAATGTGGACAAAGCTAATTAGAGGAACAAATAGTGAGATTTTCCCGTAATTTATATAATTAGAGGAATAAATAGTGAGTATTTTCCCGTAATTTATATAATTAGAGGAAGAAATAGTGAGTATTTTCTCGTAATTAATAAATTATAAACTCTAATCAATAAAAGAAGTTATATATGGGTAAACTAAGCACATAGTTGTTGCATTGAGGTTAGAGATAAGCATAAATGGTAATGAGATTATCATGGAATTATTTAATATATCCTCACATAAACAATAAAGTAAGAGATAATCATAAAAGATAAACACGTGTGTAATACTTGTTATATTTTGACCTGTGTGATTTTTGTAGGTTAGAGATAAGCATAAAAGGTTATATGTTATCTCAATAATGCCTTCAATAATATGAATTATTATGATGATTGAAATTAGCTATGTTTACAAACTCTACATTATTTGCATTGTTGCTAGTGTCATATGTCTATGGACTATATTTAAATTAATAAATACATTTTTTTTTTGTATGCATAAGCATGTTACAATCTAATTAATAATGTCTTATACATGCATGACTTGAAGTAAACATCATCAAGCAGGTGCGCAAAAGACAAAAGACACGACTCAAACATGTAGAAACAAATTTATATTTATACAATATTAGCTTCACTTTGTCAAGTTTTCATACATTATTTTTAAATCCAACAAATGTTAATAACTTATGTTAGTCTTGTTGTTTCCTCTCTCAAGTTTATATTAAATTATTTAAATATTATATTCCACCCACCTCCCCCCCTCCAACTCAAATAAAAAGAAAAAAAAAAACAAAATATTGGAGTAATAATCTAATTCATTTATCTCCAAAAACGTATTTATAATTGTTTTTATTTTCTTAAGTTTCTGTTCGAGAATGATGAAAACAGAAGAAATTAACTTGAAAGGTTATATATATATATATATATATATATATATATATATATAAATAAAATCGCAGGTAAGAAGGTAAATCGAAAAAGATATATCCTAGATAAATTTTAGGCTATTAGATTATTATTAATATTTTAAGCATGTTTATATATATAATTTATGGGTATGTATTACCTTTGTTCTGGTCAGTCTTTGTTCGTCTTCTGATGATGTTGTGAACAATGTCACTATTGCTTTTCCCTCCAATTATGTTCTTCACAACTTAAAGGTTCTTCACACACAAATCTGTCAGTTAGTCTGCACGTTTGCCAAAAAAAAAAAGGATGTCGGCATTAGATATTGGATAAATTGAACAAAAAAAAAGACTGTAGAAGGAACCGAGAGTATGAGGTTGAATGTAATACGATGAATGCATTAGAAATATATGATATTTATAGAGATATGATTAATGTCCCGTCGGATTCAACAATTATCCAATATTTTTTATTCTGATATAATTAATATCCCGTCAGATCCTATCCGATTTACTTGATTATGCTATGATGAGTGGGCAAAAATATGTGGACAATTTCGATACAATATGTAGCAAATAATAAATTTGTGAACAAATAAAATCCTACAAAATCGGATCATATATCTGTTGGTAAAAAAAAAGGATAATTGCCAAATAAATGTGAAAACTGAAAAGCCGTCAAATCGTCAATTTAGTAGCTGCCCAAAAAAATCTGTAGTTATCGTGGAAAATTGGTAACATCAATTCATATATAAAATTAATTAAAATCCTAGCAATATAGTTAACAAAATCCTATAACTTTGGTAAGGCAATTTCTATCATTATCTATAAGATTTTGTAGTAATTATTAAAATTATGAATATATAAAATCTCACATAATCCGCTTAATTGGTTAAGAAAATCCGAACTAATTTTGCTATGAAAGATTTATTACTTAAATTAACGATCTTCAAGATTTTGTAGTAATTATTAAAATTGTGAATATATAAAATCCCAAAGAATCTGCCGAATTGGTTAAGAAAATCTGAACTAACTTTTCTATGAGAGATTTATTACTTAAGGTAATGATCTTCAAGATTTTGTAGTAATTATTAAAATTGTGAATCTATAAAATCCACATAATCCGCTGAATTGGTTAAGAAAATCCGAACTATTTTTTCTATTAGAGATTTATTATTTAAATTTAATTTTAACGCGTGGGGCCCATTGGTGTTACTTAAATTAGTAAGTCAAAATATTATTTTTCAAGTCAAACATACTATTTTTGTATTTTTCCAACAACCTCTTTATATTACTATAGATATGGTATTTATATCTTATATTAAAAAAACTAATAGTAAATAAAACGTTATTTAAAATCAAAATAATCAAGGTTTTTTTAAAGTTCTATAACTACTTTTACTATTACTAATTATAATATTTGTATTTATTACTTTTTTTCATAGTTATTAGTAAGTGTTACAACTTAATTATAAATTTAATATTATTTATTAGATTTAATATTTTTTAACTTTAAATTGTTTTTTCATATGTTTTTAAATATGTGTGTGTGTGCGCGTATAACTTTTAGGTTTGTTAAAAATACATACAATTAAAGTATAGAACTTTTTGAGTCATATATCTTATTTATATCAATTAATTTTATATCTTTACATTATATTATATAATTAT